GACCTCGTGATCTGCCCGTCTCGGCCTCCCAAAGTGCTGGGATTACAGGCTTGAGCCACCGCGCCCGGCCATATTTTCATTTTTATTTATTCTTTTTGAGACGGAGTCTCACTGTGTCGCCCAGGCTGGAGTGCAGTGGCACGATCTCAGCTCACTGCAACCACCACCTCCTGGGTTCAAGCGATTCTCATGTCTCAGCCTCCCGAGTAGCTGGGACTACAGGTATACACCACCAGGCCTGGCTATTTTTTTTTTTTTTTTAGTAGAGATGAGATTTCACCATGTTGGCCAGGCTGGTCTCAAACTCCTGACCTCAGGTGATCCACCCGCCTCGGCCTCCAAAGTGCTGGGATTACAGGCATGAGCTACTGTGCCCGGCCCCACTGTATAGACATGAACTTTAGCTATTCCTTTTCTGGTGAGCATTTAGGTTTTTCCTATTTTAAAAAAATTCTAAATAACACTGTAAAATATCAGTACAAAATTTTGACCACATCCCTATTTCTTTTGTATAGATTTCTGGAAGTGAGATTTCAGGTCCTAAGAGTTATGAAAATTTTTGAGGTTCTTGATAATATTGCCAAATTGCTCTCCAGAAAAGTTGACCAATTTACATCCAGTTTTTCAACTAAAAATCTTAAGATTTTTTTCAACTCAAAATTTTCAGTTAACAATCTTAAGAAAAACTTGACAAATCCTGAAACTTCTCTTTATGCTTTGATAAGTCCATTCTGCTCATCTGTCAAAGAACCACTTCCTGTGTCATGGCTTGTCACTCAATTTTTTTTTTCTTTTTCTATTTTTTTTTTTTTGAGATGGAGTTTCGCTCTTTTTGCCCAGGCTGGAGTGCAATGGCGCGATCTCGGCTTACTGCAACCTTCAATTCCCTGGTTCAAGTGATTCTCCTGCCTCAGCCTCCCCCGTGGCTGGGATTACAGGCATGCACCACCACGCCTGGCTAATTTTGTATTTTTAGTAGAGTCGAACTTTTTCCATGTTGGTCACGCTGGTTTCGAATTCCCGACCTCAGGTGATCCGCCCGCCTCGGCCTCCCAAAGTGCTGGGACTACAGGCATGAGCCACTGTACCCGTCGTGTCACTTCATTTTTATAGTGCTACAAAACCATGTTTTCTCCTCTCTGTTCTTGTTCCGTTTTCTGACTCCATCTCTGCATTTTTGTATGTTCCAGGTTCAGGTGTGGGACACAGCAGGTCAGGAACGTTTCCGCAAAAGCATGGTCGAGCATTACTACCGCAACGTACATGCCGTGGTCTTCGTCTATGACGTCACCAAGATGACATCTTTCACCAACCTCAAAATGTGGATCCAAGAATGCAATGGGCATGCTGTGCCCCCACTAGTCCCCAAAGTGCTTGTGGGGAACAAGTGTGACTTGAGGGAACAGATCCAGGTGCCCTCCAACTTAGCCCTGAAATTTGCTGATGCCCACAACATGCTCTTGTTTGAGACATCGGCCAAGGACCCCAAAGAGAGCCAGAACGTGGAATCGATTTTCATGTGCCTGGCTTGCCGATTGAAGGCCCAGAAATCCCTGCTATATCGTGATGCTGAGAGGCAGCAGGGGAAGGTGCAGAAACTGGAGTTCCCACAGGAAGCTAACAGTAAAGCTTCCTGTCCTTGTTGAAACCAAACGGTGTAAATACAAGATAAATTATCACTGGAGTTTTTCTTTCCCTTTTTTCTGTGCCTGCATAATGCTGACACCTGCTTGTTTCCATACAAATTGATATCAAAATAAAATTTGTATAGATTATCACATGGCTTTTTGTCTTGCTTTCCTCCAAGCCATTCCTGATTGTGATGAGTGGAACAGGCAGTTTGTCTTACTAGAGTAATATTCCCCATGCCAGTGGCACACTCCCTGCCAGCTTTCTAGGCTCTCTGAAATTCTCATCGTTTGAGTCAATTCTTCAGGACGAATTCATTCTCTCACTCAGTGTAATCAGTGGGCAGAAACACCCGGTGGGGTTGGGGCACAGGCCAGATATGTTTTTCTAGAGAGCAAGTACAGGCAGAGTGATATAGAGAAGTCTTGAAATGAGATGTGGACTCACTGGTATTTCCTAGGTTTCCTAGATATGTGCCTTGAATGCCCGGATAGACTACTCTCTCCATATTTTCCAGTTTAAAAATAAAAAGTATGGCCGGACGCAGTGACTCATGCCTGTAATACCAAGACTTTGGGAAGCTGAGGCGGGCAGATCACTTGAGGTCAGGAGTTCGAGAACAGCCTGGCCAACATGGCGAAAACCAGTATCTACTAATAATACAAAAATTAGCCAGGCATGGTGGCACATGCCTGTAATCCCAGCTACTTAAGGGCTGAGGCAGGAGAATCACTTGAACCCGAGAGGTGGAGGTTGCAGTGAGCCCAGATTGTGCCACTGAGCTCCAGCCTGGGTGACAGAGTGAAACTGTGTCAAAAAAAAAAGAAGAAGAAGAAGAAAAAAGGACAGTTTGTCCAATGGGCCCGATTACTTCCAGAATAGTTAGATTCTGCTTCCTATTTTTCATCAATCAGTCTTGAACCCTAAGGCTGTTCCCACTGTGACCCCCACCCCTACCCTTTCTTCGATAGGCAGGGCTCAAGCAACAAATATCTATCATGTCCCCAGACCTTTGCTAGGTGCTAGGGAAGAAATGTTACAAGAGGACACGTTCCCTATGTTCAGAGACCCTATGATCTAGTTGCAGGAACTATGTACACACTGAAACTACATGCAAACAAAAACCAGACAACATGACCAAGTGTGAGGTTGCACCATGGGAAGTGGGAGCATTATGTATTCAATATCAGGGAGGGCTCACAGGAAAATACTTAGATTTGTTTTGTATGTTAACTAACGTGTAAGGTTTAGATTGGTAAAGAAGAGGGGAGGGGAGTGGGCAAAATCAGGGGGGCAGGAATGACTTTGGAAGTTGGAAGAGAGGACAACTGGGGATCTGGCCCAAGGAGAGCTGAACAGTGCTAGTGGGAGCTGAGCTTGGGGAGGGCTTGCGCATCAGGCAGAACAGTTTGGAGATTTTTTTTTTTTTTTTTTTTTTTTTGAGATGGAGTCTCGCTCTGTCGCCCAGACTGGAGTGCAGTGGCGCGATCTCAGCTCACTGCAACCTCCACCTCCCGGGTTCAAGCAATTCTCCCTGCCTCAGCCTCCTGAGTAGCTGGGATTACAGGCACCCACCACCACCCAGCTAACGTTTGTATTTTTTAGTAGAGACAGGGTTTCGCCTTGTTGGCCAGGCTGGTCCCAACTCCTGACCTCAGGTGATTCGCCTGCCTTAGCCTTCCAAAGTGCTGGGATTACAGGCGTGAGCCACGGCACCCACCCCGGACTTGCTCTCTGAGCCAATGAGAGCTCTTGGTAGTTTTCCAGCAGGCGAGTCCTATAGTTATTTCTTACACATCTGGTCCTATTATTGATACGAAAGCTCCTTGTCCAATTGTGAAAGTAACTAAAAGTGGCTAGTAAAGACTTGTCTACAATAGCTCCAGGTGGATTTCTTTGCATGAAAGATGGTGTGCTCCTTCAGGGGTCTCTCTTGCTGGAATCCCGCTCTGAGGGGGTCTCGGGAAGACAGCTCCTGAACACTTTCCTCTGTCAGGCGTATGGAGCTCTGCTCCTAGACAGCGAAGGGTAACACACACCAGATGTGCTTCCCACTCAAATAAAGAGCTTGTCTGGTCCCGCCTGGGTCATCCTTGCAGCCCTCTCTACCGCATCCCATCCCCACCTGGCCTCAGACTCAGTCCCGCCCCCAGTGGCCTCAGACTCAGTCCAGTCACCAGTCTGGTTCTCATCACTTGACTTTGCCTGGATCTCAGTCTTTGGAATCTGCCTACCACTCCAGTTAGAGCTGCTTTTCTTACTAGTTGTCCCCATCCAACTCCCAGCCCCAGAATCTCCCCCAAAGGGCTGGGCTCCCATTGTCTGTGGATGAGCTGTGTGCCGGAAGCCTGGTTGCTATGCCTCTCCCAGATGGAACACCCCATTACCTTGTCTCACACTCCAGACGCTGACTCCTTGCTCAGGACACAACCTGCTGTTGTGTTGCCTTTTGGTTGCCATCACCTGTGTTGCAGGGCTAGGCCACTGCTCAGTTACTACAGGTGCATTTGTCTGTCCTAATGGGTACATTTCAGTTTGGGTCCAGACCCCTCTTGGTCAGGCCTCTTTCTTCAGTTACAGGGGCCAAGGATGACAACGTTCCTAGTGTTATGAGTCCTCTAACCAGGATCGCCTCTGACACCTTCTAGGCTTCTAGGCTTTCTTTTCTTTTTTCTTTCTTTTCTTTTCTCTTTCTTTCTTTTTTTTTTTTTTTTTTTTTTT